TTTCCGAGTACACCTGTCTACTCCTGTGGCTAGTTAATTCCTGTTTGAGACACCCACTCAGGCACATTTTTGTTTGTTCAACACTCACAAAGTGGTTTTATACTGCAACAATACTAATTTGACGTGCAGGCCTTAGTTTCTGACATAGATAGATAGATAGATAGATAGATAGATAGATAGATAGATAGATAGATAGATAGATTAATCAGGCGTGATCCTCTGCTTGAACAATGCCACTGCATTCAAACTCTCGGTCATGATGTCTTGTGACTTTGTGCTGGCAAATACCATCGACGGATTATGACCAGTTTCGGAGACGCAATTACACGCCCACTTCTTGAATTAATACATTAATGGCCACCGTAAAATCTGGTATTAATTATAAAGACTAAAATGAAAATAATTGTACATTTCTGTCTACCGTCTCCAAAATGATACGGTTGGCAATAATGGGTTGATTATTTCAGAACTTAATTTTATGCGTGCACGTGTATCTTTGAGGTGTTTTTTTTTTTTTTTTATCAACGTTCCACAGGTTTTATTTATCTATTTCTGATTCACATTTAGTCTATAAATATTCATAAACAATTTGGATTGCTTCAATTTGCAATTCAAATAATGTTAACATTCCAGCATTTGAAATTTTTTGTTGTAGACGAAGACAAATGCCGATGGTTGTAAGATTATAAGCGAAAATGAATTCAGCTCCAACTATCTCACAACAAAGTTCGAGATTTGTGTTGTTCGGATGAGTATTTTACACGGAGGCAAAGGGTGGAATTAGATATTACATTTCGGTGGAAGAACTTGGATATTATATATATATATATATATATATATATATATATATAAGTGTCCCCAGAGTATTAGCTAACCACGATAGTTGACTGGTGTACTCGAAAACGAGTAGGTAGCTATTATATATGTATATATTCATACTTCATATTAACACATTGTACATCCTCTTTGGATGTTAAAACGGCACTATAACCTCGCATATACTGTTGCTCTTATAATGCCCCCATCTTAAGCAGCGTCTGTACTACGTGGCTTTCCATAACGTTGCTTGTATATACAGAAATGTTCACTTGATATTTGTTGTGACGACTGAAGCACCCAGACGTATAACATGCGTTTAAATTCTCCAAAATTATAATTCAGCTCCCGGGAACCCACGATCCAATTAAACAAAAGGATTAGGTGAGGGTCTCTGTAGAATGACATCTGTTTGAACAGGACTCTTTCGCTACACTAAACCAAGTTTGTTTGGAGAAGAATGAAAATTAAATTTTATTACACAAAATCTACACAGTATAACGTTTAAGAAGCCTTGTCATGTATTCTAGTAACACATGAACTTAAGAGATGAACATCTGTCGTAGGGCAAACTGCTGTAACGGACTATTTATATAGAGTTCCAGCATCACAAGATGGCAGAATATAAAGACCTGGTGTTGGAGTTATAGCAATCCCAAACTGGGATGCGGGTCTTATTATATTCGAGTATCTAGCGTTGATGGCGGTATCTTTTATTGTCAAAGGAATAGGATTGAAGATTGAAACAGTGAAATAGAACTTTATGCAAGGTGAACTACTGCAAAAGTTCAGGGTGAGAAGTGGGGAAAGAAAAAAGGATTATGATTTTGGGGCTTAATATCGTTACGTTTAGTGGCCGGGGGGGGGGTTACAGACAGTGCTTTTCTATACGATATTCTAATTCAACCATTTCTTCCAGTATGTTTGAAAAGTTCCCTTCTTGGCTTAAACACACTTGACCGGATTCAGCTGCTCTCATGTTTTTTTTAATTCTTCTGTTCTGTTATATTTTCAACCGACATACGTTTATTCATTTTATGTAAGAATACATGATGTTATCATGACATTAATTAATATTCCGCTAAATTTAATTGTATTTGAATTTAATTACTCTGTCCAAAATAATGATTCTTCAATAAGAGTTTGTTTTACATTTTATTACATCGGCCATAAATTCATTACTAATAGTTTGTTTTATATCTCTTTCTAACATTATTTTGAAAGGTTAAAAATTCACATTTCTTTGTTCTCAAAAATGCACTCTCAACATGACATTACACTGTGTTAGTATTTTGACTTTAATGTGTTGCCTACGCTAATATAATCTTAGAAAATAACAATAGTGTCTACCATTGAGCAATGTTTAGCAACAACATTTAGGCAGCGATTACAAGTAAGTTGAAACTTTAGATTGCAGACATCTTGTAAAGAAATGCTGCCACGTCAGAGCAGTGTTTAGGAAGCTAGATCCAGATTCAGTTCGGAAAACTCAAGTCATATTCTAAAAAAGGCCTCGTCATATCGAGATTTTCATATGAATGTTATGCACGGCGTCAAACCAATTCAGAAATTGCGAAACTCTCAGCTGTATAAATATAATACCTCATCTCAGAAATATAGACATATATATATATATATATATATATATATATATATATATATATATATATATATATATATATATAGTCTTGCGCGCTCAACAACTAAGGTCTGTTGAACGTAGTTGCAATATAAGACACAGATGAGCTCTGAACAAATACAACAAATAGTTCAATTGATCGCATTCGAATTTCTTAAATTCTTACAAGTAGCATTGCCATTTTTTTTTACGAGAATATCTCTCAAATTGTTTCAATTTCCTTCTATCGCAAATTCTTCAGCTACTCCAAGTTGGTCTAAAGGTTAGCAAGCTTTTCTCGATGTATCAATTGCGACTGAATAGTGAGTTTGATTCCCATACTTTCCACTCTGTGCCTACGCTATGCATAGAAATCCGCTTTCTACTGAAAATTTCAGATCGTCATTCTACGACCGTTTATTTAAACGCGCTGTTTTAAAAAGATTCAAATAGAAAGAAAATAACAGAAAATCTCGTAGAAAACGTTATGATGACTAATAAAGTTTTATCTAAGGAATTCGATCACTTTTACATGTTAAGGCGAAGGTTGTATGCATAATTGACAAAGGAGAATGAAGCTTCGTCTCGCACGGAGATTAATAGGTTTAGATTCATATACACAGAGTAATGCACGCACAGAATAAGTGAAAGATAAAAGAGAGAGAGAGAGAGAGAGAGAGAGAGAGAGGGGAGAAATGATTATGCACTTCTAGTCAAAACACCTACACATAAACACCGACCACTGATCAACAGCAACATATATATATATATATATATATATATATATATATATATATATATATATATATATATATATATATATATCACACACCATGAGCAATGATATTCCAATCAAGCTTACCTAATTATTACTTTATGGTAGGCTCCCTTTTTGGGGGCACAAACTTAGAATACTAAACACTAAATGGTCATTTTTATCTGTGTCTAGCAGTAGAGCCCGGCGTTGCCCGGGGATGTAACAGTAAGAGATAGATCAAGTATCCACCATCATAAAGACTGAAAAATAAAATTGACAAAGATTATTGTTTAAGGTTGACGGACACGCATGTCTTAATTTTTTTATTTTTTTTTACGAATTGGTCAAACCAAACTCAACCAAAAACATTGTTTTCAATCGTTATGAGTCTCTACCGATTGAATAGAATTTTATTATAAACAATTGTCTTGTAAATGGAATTTTTAAAGCATTCTGAATGTAAAAATAAAGAAAAAAGTGTGCAAGACAATAAGAAACACTACCTGCCCAAAAAGTGAAGTTTTGTTGAAATCGGTTGAAAAATGTAGGAAATCCGATCCCATATATAAACGAACAGACACACACAACCTGGGTTTTATAAGTATGATGATTGCCTCATTGCTATGGCTTGTGATCTTTTGTATATATATGTTGCTGTTGTTCTGTGGTCGTTGTTTATGTGTAGGTGTGTACTAAACACTAAATGGTTATTTGGAGAGGCAATGGAGTAATGGATAGTGGCTCGGATTGAGGAATCGGAGAGCCGAGTTCGAATTCTAGTCAAATCCATTACATTCCCTTACGTGCTAATAATGCCATTCTCCCCCCAACTCCCCAGCTAGCAGGGCAGACCGGGTTTTATAGCCTTGGATAGCAACTGGTCTACCGCAGAAAGAAATGACAACCTACTGCGGGAAAAAAAATCTGTCTCGTCAGTCCTGTATCGAAAGATACATGATCGCCTAAGCGTTTATCACGCATGGCACATAACTGACTGAAATGATTATTTAGTGAGCTTACCATAGATAAATGGATAAAACTTATTATGCGAACAAATGATCTGCGAGACCATAATTAATAATTTTAGGTAGACACAAGACTATAACATCTGGGCATCGATTGAGAATTAACCCCACTACACTGGATTAACTTGTTACACTACGCGGACGTTTGACTTCGTCCGTCACACGGCCACAATAACTGGCTGCCGACTGAGACTCGAACACTTTTTAGTGTTGACATTATTCAAAATTATCTAACCGAAGCCTTTCACTCTACAATCTCTTCTCCACAGTCGCAACATTGCAAGTCGGTCTCTACTCTATTTCCAAGGCGAATGTCCAGTTCTTCGTACTAGTTCAGGCCATTGCAGATAGAACACGTCATGCCACTTTCCCGGAGGTGAACCAGCCTCATTTCGCCCGTGATTCCAAATGTATGAAGAAAGTTCAACTGGGATAGCTTTTTTCAAAAGAACTGCTACTTTGTAAAATCGACTCTTGCTTGTGTGCTCTTCTGAAAATTTAAATCATGACCTCTTCCAGTCAAGTGTTAATCGTTGTCTATCCACTTCATTTTCATAATTTTCACTTCCATTCTAATCACGCACCACTATAATCCTCTACTTCGAGTGGCTTTCGAGACTTGTAGCGTAAACCAAAAAAACAAAAAAAAAAAACAAACTTGGGAATTGTCGGCGGGAATACCATACTAGTCATCTCTTGTATACGTGCAAAGACCATAACAGATTGAGAAGCGAATGCACGATATTTGTAAAACAACCGACAGGGGGAGGTTGTTCGCACTCATTTTACGGCAGAGGCCTTTTTTGTGTCTGTGTGTATGTGACTGGATCTTCCGTTTGACTAACTCGTGTACATGCGCCTGTCCGTGTGCACCTCTCACTTTCTGCATTCATCTAGGCACCGAGCTGGCGCCTCGTCTGTCCACCCCGTCTCGCTGCCTAAATGCACTCAGTGACCGATCCGCCTGGGTGATGTAGATTTAACAATGATCGACATTGGATGCAAAAAAAAAAAAAAATAGAAAGAGTTGGAAACAAAACAATAACAATAACGACAAAAACAAAAGCAAAAACAAAAGAACTGTTTTTGTTGTTGGAGTGGGTCAGGTTATTAATAGGAGAAAGGCAGTGGGCAACATTGGAAAATGAAAAGAACTTGAGGAGAAAGGTCGGTGTGAGGGGAAAACAAAAAAATAATGACAGTAATGGTGGTAGAGAAAGCGATAGAGAAAAAAAAGAATGGTTATTGAAAAAAGAAAACAGACATTTTTCTGCTGCATATAAACATGCATATAAACATGTGTACACACACACACACACACATATATATGCGTGTGTATGTGTGTGTGTGTATTTAAGCAGCATATTTTCATTCAGACATGTTTCATTCAATTATATAGACATATTGTGTCTACTTATTTTTATACTAATCCTTTCCAGTTGTCTAATAAGTTTCTTGATGTTAAGATGAAATTCATGAAGGAAGACACCGTAGTTTTTTTCTAACCTTATTGTACCTCCTGGAGATAGCGTCTCGAATCGAGGAATCGGAGAGCCGAGTTCGAATTCCAGTCGAATCCATTACATTCACTTACGTGCTAATATTCTTGGAAAAGGTATGAATCCTCTTCTTCTCTCCACCTCAGCTATGGGTAAATAACAGGACAGATCGGGTTCTATAGCATTTGATGGCAACTGATCTACTGCAGAAAGAGATGGCAATCTGCTGCGGGGAAAATCTGCCTCGTCAGTCCAGTATCGAAAGATACATGATTGCCTAACCGTGTATCACGCATGACACATAACTGACTTACTGTAACTGCGATAAGCTATCATTTGCGATTATTATTTGCCTTTTCACAAGGCTACGCGTTAAATTGCCAAGTGTTGGTATCATGATGAGCTGCTGAATCATGAAGATCTAACAGGTTTCATTGAATAATATAGACATATTGTATATATATATATATATATATATATATATATATATATATATATATGTGTGTGTGTGTGTGTGTGTGTGTGTGTGTGTGTGTGTGTGTGTGTGTAAATAAAAAGAAAGAACAGTAAGATATATAATCCGGTGTTATTATTGATATTTTTTATTTTTTTTTTTTACAAAACAGTGCTCAATGTAAATTTACAGAGCATAAATATTAGAATTAACTGATTTAAAATATTTTTTTCGCTACACAGTAATAACTATGTTTCAAAAAAACTGAAGTAGCGAAAAAACATATTTTAAATCAGTTAATTTATAATATATATATATATATATATATATATATATATATATATATATATATATATCGCAGTTGCAATAAGGTTGTCTTTGTAATTTACCCCTGAAATGATCTTAGAAAGGATGGAGAGTACCTGGGTTAGAAAAACTGCGGCGTCTTCCTTGATGAATTTCATCTTAGCATCGAGAAATTGATTACAGTTCGGGAAACGATCAATATAAAAATAAATTGACACAATATATCTATATTATTCAACAAAACACATACACACACCCACTAACATATATATATATATATATATATATATATATATAGCAATATCAAGATTGTATTTCTCGAAGGAAAATATGGCTATTTCTGGTTTCAAATTGTTTCAAGGCAAGCGATTAAAGTGTTCAATATTATGAGATAGAGCATTAACCTGTGTCTCGTAACCAATTAGGTGGCTTTCGGCCATATCACGTTGGAACACCGGTACCCGTATGATCGTCGAAGTTAAGCAACGTTTAGATGTGCGGGTAGTGTAATGGATAATGGCTCGGAATTGTTAATCGGAGAGCTAGTTTCCAATTCCAGTTGGGTTTCGTTATATTCACTTACGCGCAAAATAACCTTGAAAAAGTTATGAGTTCACTTCTTCCCTCAGCTATGGACTAATTAGAAAAATGTATATTGCTAAATCATTATTATCTCATAAAAAAATCCTACAGTATCAATCATTTCTAAAAAAAACCCGCAATGTGTTAGTAAGCCGTAAAAAACGAATCAATCAGTCAATGCAAGCCATTAGGATCGTAAAGGCACCACATTTTGTGCAGCTATAACAATAGTGGTGTGTCTAGGGCAAGATAGATTAATGAAGTTCAACCCTCCTCAGGTTAGTTTTGAATTTAGTGTGTTCCTTCTAGATAGGTTTGCCGCCGCCGCCTCCAGGCAAAAGAGGCCAGTCTGCCCTGCTATTCAACTAATAGGATGAAAAAGATGGTTTAATGTAACGCTATTGGCAATAACGAAAGGAAACGGAACCTCCTGAATAATAATTATTTGTCTATCTTTCGATCCAGGAACACCATATAAATATGGTTGGTCCCAGGAGACGGGGGATTCTATCCAGAGACTCTGCCGGACTGGCGAGATGTCAACCCATTCTACAGGAACGATCTTCCCAAGTACAAACTATCTGTAAATTTGTGTACACGTTCTTGTGTCAATACATTTTGTTTAAGTACATTTTGTGATTATTATTATTCCATGCTTTATTCAAGTTTCAACAATGGCGACGAGGATGAGATTCGAACTCACGCGGGGAGAAGGTGTTTTTCAAGTGCTACAAAAACAACGTTGAGTTCTGGGAGCGAGGCATAGTGGACAAGAAGAATCGGTGACCTGATTTTACATAATTAAAGGGCCGAAGAATTCACCAGAACCAACTTAAAAAATCATAGAGCATGAAGAGAGTATACCGGATGAGGACGAAGATCCCATTGATATAATGTATGATATGTTTCAAAGAACCTCCACAGAATACTCCTGAACCAAGAAGATCCGGTACAAACGGAAGTTCACGGACCCATTGGCCGTGAATCCAAAACGTATTAAAATTAGGCAAATGGATCTACAAAAGAAATAGCCATAATCATCAATATGGCGAAATCAAAAAAGGATTGGGAGGACAATTTAGTCCATATAAATATGGTTGGTAATGAAGACGGGTGGAGGAAGAAGAGATCCAATCCAGAGACTCTGCCCGACTGTAATGTCAACCCATTCTACAGGAACAGTCTTCCCAAGAATATACCAAAGTATCTGTAAATATTGTGTACACGTTCTTGTGTCACACATTTTGTTTAAGTTTTTGTGTTGTATCCTCATTGGGTAAATAAATGTTGATGGTTAAATGGATCCAAAATATTAAATGAAGGGAAAGAAAGAAAGAAAAAAGAAAGAAAGAAAGAAAGAAATAAGAGAGCAAAATTAAAATAGTTAGAACCGAAAGATATAAATAAATGGTGAGTCCCGAAGGGAAGACGGGGAAAATGAGAAGAATGATGAGAAAACAAAAGAAAGAAAAGAAAGAAAGAAGGTCCAATCCAGAGACTCCATATAAATATGGCCCGACTGCGACTAAAGAAGAGATCAACCCATTCTACAGGAACGTCAACCCATTCCCGATCTTCCCAAGAATATACCAAACTATCTGTAAATATTGTGTACACGTTCTTGTGTCAATACATTTTGTTTAAGTACATTTTGTGTTGTATTATTATTATTCCATGCTTTATTCAAGTTTCAACAATGGCGACGAGGATGAGATTCGAACTCACGCGGGGAGAAGGTGTTTTTCAAGTGCTACAAAAACAACGTTGAGTTCTGGGAGCGAGGCATAGTGGACAAGAGAATCGGTGACCTGATTTACATAATTAAAGGGCCGAAGAATACTCATAAAAGGCACCAGAACCAACTTAAAAAATATTACGGTATAGAGCATGAAGAGAGTATACCGGATGAGGACGAAGATCCCATTGATATAATGTATGATATGTTTCAGGTAGAACCTCCACAGAATACTCCTGAACCAAGAAGATCCGGTAGGAAACGGAAGTTCACGGACCCATTGGCCGTGAATCCAAAACGGAAAAAATATTAAAATTAGGCAAATGGATCTACAAAGAAATAGCCATAATCATCAACCCATATAGGAAGCCAATTTGAAATCCAAAAGGGATTCCAAGGCTTGGGAGGGGGTGTTGTGGTAGGATCCACCTAATTTACATAGTGGAGTACCGACCATATAAATATGGTTGGTAGCGGGAAGACGGGTGGGAGGAAGAAGAGATCCAATCCAGAGACTCTGCCCGACTGGCGACTACGTCAACCCATTCTACAGGAACAGTCTTCCCAAGAATATACCAAAGTATCTGTAAATATTGTGTACACGTTCTTGTGTCAATACATTTTGTTTAAGTACATTTTGTGTTGTATTATTATTATTCCATGCTTTATTCAGTTTCAACAGAAGGAAAGAAAAAATTAAATAGATTAAAATGAGTGAGCAAAATATAAAATGATGAAAAAACAAAAAAGAAAGAAAGAAAGAAAGAAAGAAAGAAAGAAAAGAAAGAAATTAAATGGATTAAAATAAGTGAGCAAAATATTAAATGAAGGGAAAGAAAAGAAAAGAAAGAAAGAAAGAAAAGAAAGAAAGAAATTAAATAATAGATTAAAATGAGAGAGCAAAATATAAAATGATTAGAACACAAAAGAAAGAAAGAAAGAAAGAAAGAAATTAAATAAATTAAAATAAGTGAGCAAAATATTAAATGAAGGGAAAGAAAGAAAGAAAGAAAGAAAGAAAGAAATTAAATAGATTAAAATGAGTGAGCAAAATATAAAATGATGAGAAAACAAAAGAAAAAAGAAAAGAAAGAAAGGTGTTGTGGTAGGATCCACAATTTGTGTTGTATAAATATGGTTGGTACCGGTTATCCAATCCAGAGACTCTGCCCGACTGGCGACTACGTCAACCCATTCTACAAACGATC